AAAGGGAGATTTTGGAGAGATGGGCTGCCTTGTGAAAGAGGAACAAGAGGAACAGGAGGCTGGAGGGCAGTTTCATTGAGACCACCCGTGCCCCTTCTTGACGCCGCTGGTCTAGCCTTGCCCCTTAGAAGCCTCAAAGCATCTGCATTCCGAATGATGGGGAAACCCAAATTGTCTCCACCTCCCGTGCCCCTGCGCTTCCCTGGCTGCAGCTGCAACTTTCTGCACTTCGTTTACATTCCTAGTGACTCTGTCAGAGGCCGGATCCACTGCGTAAATAAGCGGGAGCGAGGGGAAGGCCTTAAAACTGTGAGAGACGCAGAGAAATAAACCTTTGCATTCAATATCCTACTACATTGTGACTTTTTTTCTCCTGGGCCCATTAGGCAAGCACATTTTACTGCAGATTTTTCAGAGCAGTACGCCTTTCATCTTGACTTCAGGTTCTGTGCCCACCTTATGTACCATTCTGTTTCCTCTGGTGTATTTATTCTGCAGCTACAATTTAAAAAACCCACACTTTTCTAAATTGGGGTGGAACATCACTTGTGATGGGGGGGTGGCATCCAAAGTTTTTTTTTTTTTAAATATGCAATTGCCCTATCACAGCTGTGAAATAGCACCCAGCAAGGGCCTTCCATTTATCAGCGGTTCCCAAACCTATTTGGCCTACTACCCCCTTTTCAGAAAAAAAATTACTCAGTGCCCCCCTGGAAATCTACACCTTCAAGAGGTGGACAAAAAGATGCAGTTTGTGGATCTGCACCTGGATCGTTCCAGCCCACCTGGATTGTTCTAGCGCCCCCAAGGGGGCGGTATTGCCCACTTTGGGAACCAGTGAATTTTAAATCCTCCTGGTTCAGGTTTTGCACATGCATTTTAGTGTTTGTTCATTGAATGAAAGGGAACAGAACGGAAACCAGGCGAAGGGGGAAAACATCTTGAAACGGACTAGACTGGTTTTTTTAAACTGTCAAGCAGCTACGAGCCACTTTCCATATTGCTGAACACTAGGGGATTCTCTGCTATGTTATTGTCCACTGTGAAAAATGGGAAAGAGTCACACGATCTCATTGGGGGAGCAGGTGGAGTGTACAGAATGTATGGTAGAATCCACTGACACTGAGATTGCAAACCGTGATTGTTGGCAATGTGTGTGTGTGTGTGTGCATGCGTGCCTGTGCAAAGTTGGCTGCAACTCCGCCAGGCTTCGCAGAGGACTGCAATTTGTATGGGGGAGGAGTCCGTTGGCAGAAGCTCTGGAGAGCTTTTTTGTCTTGTGCCGCTAAAATGGGGAAAAAATCGTTTTCGTATTTTTGCCAGTGCCCTAGCACAGCTGCATAATAACACTAATTTCCTGCCCTCTCGCAAATTTGTGTGGTTTTTCTCTTTACGATTCTCCACTTTGATCCTGCACAGTGGTCATGATCTTGTCAGTTTTTAAGAGCCTGTCCTCTGCGGATTGCACTCTGTTCTCAAAACGGATCAATCCCAGGTGATTCTTAAGTTCAGTGGTTTGCCGAAGGTCCATGTGGCTCAGCTGCCATTTTAATGTTAGGCTTCCGGAGACTGCTAAAATGGTCCCCCCCACCACTTTGTTCACTAAAGCATTAAAAGGGGAAATGTTTTCAGAGGTTTATGCTTCCCATCCCAATCTCTCTCTCTTT